CTGCATCGAGGTCATAGATCTGGTAAGTGTTCGTAGCCAGCCGATCCAGCGTGAACTTCGTTAACACGATGAGTTCGGGCGAGAGCTGGCTGCTCCGTTGCACGTCGATTAGGACCAGATCGGCCGACGACAGTGTGATGGACTCCATTTCGATGGTCAACCTCCAGTCCGCGTACACGAGCTTGTCGAACACTTCGGAGTCGTCGTAGGGCTCACAATGCTGGAAATAAGCCTTAAATACAGGGTAGTTGACGATGGTCCTCTGGAACAGCGTGACAGTCGACGCGACGCGAGTGTCACAGTCGACAATAGGGCTTAACTTGGGGAGACGATACCTTGCTGAGACAGCCCACCCACTGCGGCGAGTTAAAGTAGTTGTTAAGGTTTCTGACCTTCTTGATCAGTGCAGCATCTTCGGGAAATGGCCCGCCAACAGTGCACAAGCGACGCTCAATCTTTTGCTTTCCTGTCGCGGGATCCAGCATACTCACAGTCTTGCAGTTCTCCCTCACGCCTATTCCGTACAAAAGGCAAAGGTTGAGGACACGCACGGTGCAGTCCGTTGGTAGAGAGTCCTCGAATAGCTTTAAGACTTTCTGGGCGCTGGACGTGGTGTCCGACATGGTGAACTGCGCCATCGACTCGATGTCCACCCTGTACAACTCTTCGGTCCTGCTGGTGATAAGCGCCTTGACCTTGACCGATGCGTGCAAACCGTTGTGCACTGTCACTAACAGTGCGATATTGGTGAATTCCCCGTTCTTGCTGATGAAGCTGATGGAGCTTCCGACGAGACCTTTCTTGCCACCACTTGCAGTGCAGTTGTCGTGCAGTACATTGAGGAAGGGGAAAAAGTATGCGGCCTTGAGCTCATCCATCAGAACTTGCTCTGTCAAGAAGCAGAATCGATCGAAGTCAGCATCCAGGAAGCCCCAGTAGGCCCTCAGAGCCAGGGCGGTGGCGCTACCAGTCGCCAATTGCAAGAGACTACGAAAGTCGTCCGACACCACCGTGTTGTAGGGTAGTCCTTCAATATTTAACCACAATTAGTCAGTAGGTGAGAACACAGATACAAACTAATGGATATCTACTAGCTTACCGTCGTTGATCAGCCAACGGGCAACGTGCGCGTTGAGCTCCTTCGCCGTTGGTCCCCAGAGTTTCTGCAGAGCACCTCACCTCGGTACTGTTCGTTCTTGGG